ATAAAAATATAAGGTGCAGTGAACCCCCATGACCCCAATGGTGGCTGGTGCCAAACACCAAACAAAGCTCTGAATCCTCACCAGACAGATCGCCTGTGTAGGACGCTATCACCTCGCATTATCTTCAGTCATTGTTGGCCGTTTACATGCAGCAACATGCAAAAAAATTTCCCCAGGAAGGGGGGGCGGAATTTATACACCACAGCCAGAGTATGTGTACGTGTGTGTGTGTGTACGTGTGTGTGTGTGTGTATAGGGTGCAGTCTTCAAAGCCATTGCCCATGGTCCCTTTAGAATTAGATTAACCAAAACACAAACTCAATAGTATTGGATTACCCAGCCTGCCCGTGTCCCGAGCCCTCAGCCTCACCCCCCTTTACGAAACCCATTGTCCTCCATAAAAGGCTGGCTGCAGGTACAACTGAAAACCAGTTTGAGCATGTTCTCTTTCATGTATTTGTGAGGCCTTTTTAATGGCTGCAACCCTTTGCCAGAAAATCACCTTTTGTCAGTGAGCAACGCGGAAAAGAGTTAGGGGGAACGTTAGCTGTCGAGCGCGGCTATTTAGGCCGAGTAAGCCTTAAGCCAAATTGTGTTTTCATTGCCCCATATGTTTTTCGCACTAGGACCTAGATCCTGTGTATGCATGTATTTTGAAGCCTAAATCCGCTTGTTGTGTGTGTGTGTGTCTGAGTCGCTGTTTGGGGCTACAATCTGAACTGCCCAGCTAGGGCTATCTGCTGCTAATCCCTCTGAATACAGACTGATTAGGATAAAACTGCTGCCGTCCCAGTAAGCAGTGTGTGTGTGTGTGTGTGTGTGTGTGTGTCTGTAGCGGTCAGCAAAGGGGGAATTTGCTTTGTTACAAAGCGGATTAATTTGGCTTGCCGTCACTAACAGCTTGGAAAAGTGCCCGGTCTCCTAACGAGAGGGTTTCTTATTAAATATTAACCAACATGCCATAAATACGCCATCACATTAGGTTGTAATACAGCCTCTTAGAGGGAGGAAACAACTTACTGTACGGCTGACGTACTGTATCAGTGCACCTGGACAGTCAGAGCACTGTAGGCAGTTGAAGGAGGACACAGAGCTCTGCTTCCATTACAAAATGGATGCTGTGTTAATTCTCAAAATGGGAACGGGAAATATGGCATTTAGGCTCTGTCAGGGAGATAAGACTCACACACACACTCAAACACACACACACACACAGGAAGAGAGACAGAGGGATGTAGGGAGAGTAATTTCAGCCACAAAGCCAAATCAAGACATCTTAATATTTCTTGACATTTTGGCAAAATTAATGTTCCCGTGTCACATTAGACAGTCTCGCCACACTCACACACACACACACACACACACATACAGAGCCTGCTTAAAATGTGAATAAAGGTGGTGGACTAATGCCTTCATCTCTCCGTCACGTAGTTCTTCAACAATTTTCCCAGAGCAAACAGAGTTCTCGGTCCAGCTGCGGAGTACAGTATCTGCCCTCCACTTCAGCGACGGGATGAAAAAAAACTGTGTCAACATGTCTCGCACTGAGCCAAAAACAAGCAGAGGGGCCAGCAGCAGACAGAGGGAGGGGAGGGTAATGCGATCTTGAGGAGCGCTGACCCTCGTTACTTCTGATGCCTCATCTCATCTTATCATTCTGCACGGCACCCGCGCAGGGCAGACATAAAGTCTCGATAATAACCTTCATTTGGTAATTGGTATGCAGAGGTCTGAAAAATGAATTACTGATCAGCGAGCTGTTACCACGGTGATAACGTGAACTGCAGGCCTAAGGAGGAATTCATCACAGCAGTGGTGAAGAGATGGAAGTGAAGTGGGGGGCGGAGGGTGGAGAAGGGGGATAGAAAAGTGGATAAGCGCCTCGACTCAATCTTCTCCAAGTGCGTGACATTGGCTATATTGATAATGTGTACTTTACACATGTAGCTGGGCTGGAAATGGGGTCCTGAGGGGACTCCCGGGGTGTCAGAAGTGTACCTAGAGGGTCTGGCAGCAAATGAGGAGCACTTTAATTCCGTTGTGATTTTCACAAGAGAATGTATAGAATGACCTTTAAGTTCACTCTGAGCACTTCTACTACAAAACTCTACAACACCCACCCCACATCGGAAAGTGCCAGAAGCTTGTAAGTGGACCTTAAGTTATTTTGCTCAGGCTTATGAGGGAAGTTTCACATTCAAAAGAAATGTAAGAAAATACTGTTACGCAATATTGTTTAGTAATACTGTATATATAAAATAATTGGATTTTTTTGTTTAAACTCCCAATAGCTGTATGGCAGTGTTGTAAACTGAGGACTGTGATGTTGGATGTTACAGGGACTTAAGAAAAATAAACGTTTTCTGATTATCAAGGACTCAAATCATTAATAATCACAAAATAAACCTATAATTGATTTATCATTCAAATTATTAGCTGGTAGTTTCTGCTGTGTGAAGAAATGCTGCTTTCTTACATTTACTGAAGTATTGTACTAAAGTGAGCGAATTTACTGCTATCTATCTGTTGGGAGTTTAAACACAAAATAATTCATACAATATCTTACATTCCTATCATATACTGAAACATGACGTTTTTATGTAATTTAATACAGTGTTATAGATGGAAATGTTATGTTAAAATGAGTTACACTTCTACCAGCTACAATGTTAAAATGCAGTAGTATGTAGTGTTGTTATTTCAGGGTTCTAGTATTGACTTTAACTTTAACTGATGTTATATACTCTATATACAAGACAGTAAATAAACATACATACATGTGTTTAAAGGTGAAAATAATGTATGTGAAAGACAAAATGAAGATTATACGGGTAAAACAATTAGTGTATGTAGGCACAGAATACATACAGCCACTCATATTTCTTTGATCAGTAATATTCTGAATACAGTTATTTCACTTTTAGTGGAGTATTTTTTTTTTTACAGTTTATTTGTATTTCATTATAAAGTGAATCCCTTCAGGCTCAATGAGAGTTGGCCAGACAGAATCAGCTATTGCTATTATACGATTACTTCGGGCTGTGGCACCTTGTGAGGCACATTATTCTTGACATTTCATAGACTAAATAATTATATGATTAAGCACTCCTGAAAAAATAAATTGGTTTCACCTCTGCTAACATGTTTGCACATCGTTTTCTCCAGTAGCAAAGCAGACCTGAGACTAGTACACTGTTAGGGTTAACAAACAAGACTTTGACATTTTCTGAGGTAACACATTAGGAATATTTTAATATATATATTAAACGTTCAATAGTAGCAGTAGTAGTAGTGGTAATGGTGGTAGGTGTAATAAAAATATTTTTACCACTCATAATGCTAAATTTAACATTGTATATATACATTTATCTTCTTTTTTTAGCCCACTAAAAAACATGCCAGTCCACACACATCTGCACACTGCGGTGTAAGATGGCACATCATGCAATGATGGATGATTTAATATTCCATAGCTCTGAGCTAACTTCTGTTAACACAACAAAAACACACAACCGCTCTGACTTTTTTTGGCTATATTATTTGATTATCATAATATATACATTTTCCGTTTTCGGACGATAATTTATGTGCACTGATAATTATCCTGTAACCCTACTCTGAATTTATCTACAAACACCCGTTGCAGGTGATTTCTGAACCAGTTTTTGACTCTTTAAGTGCATCCTTGATGAGGAAAAATGGAGTGGTTTGATCAGGGAACAACCAGCCTGAAACAGCAGAAAATGTTGGCAGGACAACGCAGCCAGCAGCGGGGAAAAAAAGAAAACAGCACCATCCTACTCTGTGAGACCTGCTTCCACCACGCGTTCAAACTAATCTCACTGGAGCATACTGTATATCTGCCAATATGTAATCGTTATGCTTTAATATGTAGTTCAGCAATTTTTGCCTTGAGATGAAAACCAATATGCTCCTATAAATCTGATCACATGGACAAGAAAAAAGAAAGAAATACCTCTTCTCTCGCTGATGTATTCAAGAAGTCCACCGCCAGAGGCCAGAGAAGAGGCTAACAAACCATTGTGATGGATGACATGGACACATGTTTATTTAACATTAGCATTTATTAAACACTGACGCAGTTCGAGTGCGCTCACTACTGACAAACTCAATTAGCACATGCGGGGTAAAGCCTGTGTTTCCTTTTTGCAGCATTGTGGGAGCAGAATTGCGAGACATTAAGCCACGCTATCAATTATCCTAATCAAACAACGACTTAATGCACGGCAAATAATCTGTTTAAAGGCACTAAGCTGGCTGATAACTCTGCAACAAAGTAACTCTATCCAATTTGACACCACCAAGGGTACTCAAAGTCAGTGGTGGAGCTGCCGTTGCATCACAACTGGACGCACTAAATGGCACATGCGACAGTGGGATTGTATTAACAGGCAGGGCTGCCGACACACTCCAAATAGGACACAAAGCAGCTGGCTGGCTCAGGCCCACGCAGAAAAAAATTTCCACAGTGGGGAGATTCATACTTTTATCATCTTATTCTGTGATCAGATACTTCCTCGAGGAAAGCAGATTTATATTCCTCAGAATAAGACACTGGACAAAAGGATAGTTGGCACTGCTACTCAAGTGCAGCATAGCAGCATTCATATAAGATACTAATACATTCAAAATTGGACATAAAGCACCTGGCAGGCTCTAAAGTACTGATTCAACCTCTTTACTCAAGTAAAAATGAAAAAGTACCAGCTTTGAAATGTACTGAAAGTATAAAAGTATAAAGTACTCTCTTGGTTTCTCTACCAGCCGCTTCTGTACAAAGCTAACTGAAACTTCAAACATGGTCAAGTCTCGCTTTGGGTGTTTTCGTCACGTTACGTCTGTTGGGCGTGATGCACAACGGTCTTCATGTGTGTGATGCAAACAAATATACATAATGGAAAATTTCCCTTCAAATGCATTAAAATTGAAGTAGAGAGTGCAGGTATTTGTGTAAAAATGTAGGGCAATAATGTAAAAAGTTCCCAAGTAACGTACAGATACCTGACAAAACTACTTAAACACAAAGTATTGGTACTTTACTACCCACTTCTAATTAGGTGCAAAAGAAAAACAGATGCAGTTGTGAGTAGGGCTGGGTATTGAACTGCAAGGTTTTTTGGTAGTGCATGAGATTCGAATGTCAAAAACCATCAAGTATAGAGAGAATAAATGTCTGGACAGACTCAGAATCTGGTTTCAAGTCCAAGCGATGTGGGATTTTTGAGGCTGATACTGATTTTAGAGGATAAAGATCAGCAGTGACACATATGGCGGACGATATAGTGAATTTATGATTTTGCAGAAGTTCTCAGAAGGCTGCTTTCTTTAACAAATACCTTTATAAAGAATATTCTACATGCTAACTGTAAATCACAGTGCAGTCTGCTGGATAAAAAAACATTTTCATATCAGTGCAAATCGGACAAGACCAATACAACGTTAATTATACATGTAAAGATATACCGTGAGATAGGTAAATCACGATACAAATATGTGAAAGGTTAAAATCGGTGAAGGATGAAAAATTAATCACGACACTCCTCCTACGTCACTGGTGTCAGTAGCTCTATCAAGACACAAGGACATCAGTTTCACCTTTAGAAAGAAAAGAAAACCTACATTGTTTTTCAGTGTATACCCTACCTCAGAATTCAAAAAGGTTATTTAATTTGATAGAAGAGAATATTTTTTGTATCTTATTGTCTGAGAAAGTATTGGGAATTGTGAGTTAATGTTACATCCCTAATACCAATATGTCTGCGATAGCCTAGTATTGTGTCGGTTGATATATCAGCCGGGCTCTAATTTAAAGACTATGCTCCCTACATTTGTTTGATTGGGTATGGTTATACCCTTATGTTTATTTGTTGTTTGTAAAGCACTTTGGATCTCTGTGT